AATTGCAGTCAAAGGACGGGGTAACAAGAATACTACAGTAAGCCAGGCATTGGTGGCACACGCCTTTAATCCCAGCACTCAGGAGGCAAAAGCAGGCGGATCACTGTGAGTTCGAGACCAGCCTGGTCTACCCAGCGAGTTCCAGGACAGCCTCCAAAGCCACAGGGAAACCCTGTCTTGAAAAAAACAAAAAACAAAAAACAAAAAAACCAAAAAAAAAAAAAAAACTACAGTAAGGCCAAATACGATCCATCTAGTAGTTTCTCGGTGGCTCAACAGGAACTAGTGGTCCTGTATTTTCACCTGCACATCTGACACTCCCACCCGCATTCAAAATAAATAAGAAAAAGTACCTCATAGATTCCTATATATATATTCGTTCAGTAATGGGTCTTGTAATGGGTTAGAGTAATTGATGCTTATTCTATCTTCCAAGTAATCCAAATAATTATTTTAAGCTAAATAGTTTGTTTTTGCACATGTTTTTTTATTGTTATTTTTGTTTTCTCACCAGACTGATGATAATAACTAGTGCTAGCAATTGTCTTTATCTGACTTTTGCTTGCTTGAAGTACCCAGGCATTTGGAGACTTTTAACCTAGGTAAATGCTGCAACATGTGAATGAAAGAGCTAATTCTAGCCCGTGTGTAGGCGGTCCCCCTGGAAACTTAGTGAAGCCACACCGACACTCTAACACACAGTTTTCCTTTCTCTCACTGTGGATGGTGATATTCCAGAGATAAGCATTCCCGAAGACGAAATGAAAATGACTCACAGTACAGGCATGAATGGCCACATCTGGAGTTCTCTGTGTCTTTGCCTGCTCAGTAATCTTTGCTTGGGTGGCACACATCAGGAATTGTGATGTATCTTGTTGGGTGATAGATGATCCTGTGCTATCAAGCTTTATGCTGAGCTGAAGTTATTTTGGAAATAGTTTGACTCTTTTGGCCCTTGCTTCCATGTGAAGTGTGGTGAGGGCAGTGTTTAATCCAAGACTAAATATTTGTCACTACTCAGGAAAGACTTTCCCTAGTACGCTAGTCAGTGCCCTGCGGATTACACAGTCTGGGTGGGTAAGCAGTTAAGGGGCCATTTCTCTCTTAATTTTTGGGTGGTTCCCTTACTATATTCAGTATTTGGATCAATTTTCTCTCTGTAGATTCCTAGGGTTCTCTCTCTGTACACCTCTCTCTTCCCTCAGACTTTGTTCTTTGAACTATGTACTGGGTATTGACAGACTTTACTTTCTGTCACTTTGACTCCAGAAGGTCAGCACACTCAGTTTCACTCCCTGAGTCATGGCCCAGAGGCCGTCTTAAGGTAGCATTATGGGGGCTCTCATTCATTTTATTTTCATCTTTCCAGAATCACTAACCTTTGCTACCCAGCACCTAATACATTAGTTGCTTTTCTCTTTGTTATGACAAAACTTCTGAAGAGTGGTTTAAGGAAGAAAGGTTTGTTTTAAGTCACAGTTTGAGAGTAGAGACCACCGTGGTAGGGTGAGTCAAGGCAGAAGGAGGGTGAGGTGACAGACAGGTCACATGGCATCTGCCTTAGAAAGCAGAGAGAGTTGAGTTTGTTTACCTCACTTCTCTTTTTAACTGAGTCCGGGACACCAGCCTATGGGAATGTACCACCCATATCCTGGGTCTTCCCACCTCAGTGAAATCTTTTTAGAAACACCTTTGGTCACACCCAGAGGCATATTTCTGTTTATTTCAAATGCAGTCAAACTGATCAACTATTAACCATTACCTCTAGTGTCTTGAAACTATTGTTTGATGTGTTTCACCTCTCTTTTCTGTGTTGTTTCAGGCAGAGGATAAAATCAGGCCACCACCCTGACTAAGCCAGGAGTAGCAGTCAAAGCATCATGTTTGGAGTTACCTAAATTTGTATTAGGTTGCTTTCATTGTGCATTAATGCCTGTGTGGCTACAGCCGAGTTATGTAAACTCCATGTGCCTCGGTTTAGATTTTGCTAAGTGATGTAAACAAATCCTTGCTTAGTCTGGCACTGCAAGATGGGGATGAGAAGATGTGTGCAATGCAGAGGGCGTGCTAAACAGAGAGGTAAGTAGCCGGGGAGTGTGGAAGGGAAGGCTCTTCACAGCAGACCGCACGGTGAAGACAAGGAGGTGTGCAGAGGAGACACAGAAATGGCAAGGGACGGCTCTTGGGTAAAGAGGGTGGAAAAGAGTGTAAGGGAGAAAATGATCAGGGTGGAGGAGAATGGAGGAAAAAGAAAGAGAAAGAGAAAAAAGTCTATGGCCAAGAAAGATAATACAGTGGGAACAGCAATGTTCAGCCTAGAAGAAAGTGGGGTTTGAACTCAAACCTGCATAAAACAATCCAGGCTAATTCAATTTTTAGCTTAACTTTTCTTATTTACTGAGTGTTTTCTACTCACCCAAGTATGTTTTAAGAGTAGGGTCATTACATGATCTTACTGAATAATTAGACATTCTTAGGAAATTGTATTGAATATTCATCTGAAAGTGAATGTTTTGTAAGTTATAAAGTAGCTGACATTTCAAAAGGGGAATAATAGAAATCGTTGTCAGTACCATTTTAAATTCATCTTACTCTACATTCAGGCTCTATTGCATAAACAGCACTAAGCTACAAATACTTGCTTTAAAAGTTTTAGAATTTGTGTTTCCCTTTTTCAGTTTATCCTTTTCGATCCTATCTTCTTCCTGCTTCTTTACTTATTTCGGGAAAGTTTAAGAAGTATCTCACATCAAGGTGGTGATGGCACACGTGCCTTTAATCCCAGTACTTGGGAGGCAGAGGCAGGCAGATCTCAGTGAGTTTAAGACCAGCCTGGTCTACAAAGTGAGTTCCAGGACAGCCAGGATTGTTATACAGAGGAAACCCTGTCTTGAAAAATCAAAACAAAAACAAACAAAAACCCCTCGGTATTATTATTATTATTATACAACTATGATGCTTTTCCAAGAATGCAGATTCCTTGGCCCTACTTCTGGACAGTGCATTTATAAAATATGGCCAGGAAAATGTGCTTTTCAAAGCTTTCCATCAATTCCAAGGACCATTCCCAGCAGGGAACCACAAGCCTCCAGCATATGAGAATCAAGTCAGTGAAAAACCCCTCTTCTAGTGGAGCTTATCGTGTAGCATGTATTAAAACAAACCAGAAAAGCCCCAGCTGACTAATAGAGGCACTGGAGAACAGTGGTTGTGTTCCCTGCAAAGTGTGACGTTATTCAGATCCAGTCAGTTGTCACCACATACGACTTGCGCTTGCCGCATTATCAAATGTTTATAGAACAAAATTGCTGATTGTGGATGAAACCTCACAGTTTACATTGAAAAAGTAATTTGTGGGTCTGGGTGTCCAGCTCGGAGGTGGAGCATTAACATAGCATGGACAAGACCATAGTAGGTTCAGTCTCTGTCACTGCAGAAAGAAGGAGAGAGGGGTGGGGGAGAAACAGATACGGAAAACTGATGTCTAAAGCAAACACAGGCAAGGTCCACCGCAGAGCACCCGGGCTGGCAAATTCTGCCTGTTCCAGCCAGACTGTATTGGAAGCAAAGACAGAAAGGTGCGTAGAAAACTCGAGGATGGCAAACAAACAAAAGCAGAGAAAAAAAAAAGTGACACAGACACTTGGGTTCTGAGAGTGAATTTTTTAATCTAGATTTCTTCTATTTGTTTGTTGCTTCTGGACTTCAGTATAACTGCAAGGCAACCTTATGTCCTTACAATAAGTCACCTCTTTGCTTAAGCTTTAACTGCAAACACAGTCTGTCTTCTGTTATCTTCCTCATCAAAGGGCTGACTATGACCAAGCCCTCAGGAAATATTATCTGCTCCTCTGCATATGTGCGTGTGGTGTCTGTCAGTCACATCAGATGACACTGGCATGTGATTTTGATTGACTGTTCACCAGTAAATCCCTTTCGGGGGGGCTTTAGGGTAACTCTATGCACTTTGGAAACAACCGGAGTCTCCCTGGGTACAGTTTGCAGAAATACAGAGACCTCTCAAACTGTTTTAGATAGCTTAGCACTGAGAACAGGCAGGAAGCAGGGAGCATTATGGGATGCTGCCATCAGGCATTGACTTTATCTGAGCCAGGGTGGGCTTGGCTGTTTCAAATGGATCTCAAGGATGTCCCAACTTCCAAGCTAGATCAACCTATGTTGCACCCCAAAGTTTCCATCATGCTGCTTTATCTTCCTTGAATTGGGGAAATAGGTAGGGAATAGGAGACCCAGAACCACTCAGTGAAGTTCAGTCTACACATGGCTTCCCTAATTTTCTTTGTTGCACAGCAGTGAACAAACATTCCTGCCAAATCCAGCTTCCATGTGGCTTCTTTGTAAAGTGGCAGAGGTGGCCAGATTAGGGGGTGGACCCTCAGAGGCTATTTAACAATACAGACACTTTGTAATTACAGGCCTCTAACTTAAAACATTCCGAGTGCTCCATGAACGGCTTTAGATGCTAATGTGATTTTCAATGCATAAATGAGCACTGTGTTTTCTAATGTGCACACCTGGAATCTGTGGGCTGTTGCTTAGCCAACCAGGGGCCATTCGGGTTTAGATCTGGCCATTTCTTTGAAGCAAGTACTTCATAGACAGGCAAGACCACCTCCCACCTGCATATGCTTCCTGGATTCTTTGTATTAATTTTGAAAGGAGAAGTCACATGAAAAAACAGGGCAAGTGCACTCATGTGGAAGAGGCTCCCTGAGGAGCCCAGCTCTGTGGCTACAGGTCAGAAAACTTTAGATTTAAAAAATCTATAACTTCAGGGCTCAAACTAAGTGTTCTGGAGAATCTACTGCTACATTAAAAAACAAAAACAAACAAATCAAAACAAAACAAAAAACCCCTGAAAGTTAGAAATGAAGACCACAGCCACCCAAAGTATTAATACATGCTACTACATGGATGAGCTTCAAAACAAAACAAAACAAAACAAAAATGTTAAATGAAAGAATTCGCATACAAGAGAGTTGATATATATGGAATATCCAGGTTAATGTAAATTCATACAGACAAAGCAGATTTGTGGTTGCCAGGAGCTGAGGGAGAAGGGCCTAGAGGGTGACTGTTAGATGTGCGTGGTGCTTCCTTTGGGGCTGATTAAAAAAAAAGACTTGAGGATTAAACAGACGTGGTGATTGCACAGTTTTGAAAGTGCTAAATGCCAGAGAATTCTATGCCTTGAAATGACCACATTTATGTTAGATGCATTTATCTCTATTTTTTAAAAGTCACACTTTTATCGAATGTCTATTTTTGTAGGTCAGGATTTCTGGAAATCCTCAGTGGGATTCTGCTACAGTTGAGGAAGGTGACAAGTAGAATTCAGATGTTCACTGGGCTGCTGGGAGAATCCAAAGTAGCTTTGTCCCTGTCCTGGCAGCTTAAGAGGGGACAACGGGGGAGTGGGTTAAACTGGGCTCCTGTCACTCTCTGCATGTCCTCTCAGAGCCTCTCCACATGGTACCTCCAGCAGTCTTCTCTTGTGACAGCTTAGGGCTCCAAAAACCAAAGCAGAAACTGTCAGTCCCCATAAAGGCCAGCTCCAAACTGGTATGGCATCTGTTGATGAAGGAAAACAAACTTTTCCTGAATCAAGAGGAGGGACAACCAACCCCTTCTCTTAACAGGAATGTCAAAAAAAGCTAAGCCTTCTTTGATTTCCTTGCTCAGGTTCCTTTCATTGGTGAAGTGATCTGTTTCTGTTGTTGAAGCAGCACAAAACTCAGGTCTTGGATTCTTGTCAGTGTGGAGCAGCTGCATGTTAAAGTTAGTGGCAACAACTCATGATTAATATTTACTGTGAGTACTCATGGCAGACAGAACTTTATTCTACACACACACACACACACACACACACACACACACACACACACACACACACGGAATTCACTCAGACAATAGCATTTGAGATACTGGCTCTTTTGGGGCGTGGCCTGAGGTGCTATGTATGGACTGATGTGGAGAGAAGGGCATGCTTTCTCTTTTGTGTGGTGTTCAGAGATCTGATGGCAACTTCCAGTGCCCCTGGGCAGAAGACCAAGCTCTCTACCTTATTGTGGTGTGGTATTCCCCAAATAAATATTTGATATCCCTTTATTCTGGGCTTTCATGGACTCTCATACCATTTGCTTTATAGATATATAGATGATATAGATATAGGTGATATACATATAGATATATCTCCACCACTACAATCTTAGTTTCATTCAATCTGATTGGGCTGTTCTGGATGTGAATCAAGAGAGGTCTAGCAGATGAAATCAAAGAAATCTATGGCAGAACTGAGGTCCTCTGTGGGGTGTGAATCTGGCTTGGTCACCTTGACTGAAGTGCTAGATCTCAGCATGGCAGGTTGCTTCAGGGTTTCAAGTCCTACACCCTTCTGGGTCCATCTTCTGTTTTCTTGGTATGTTCCTCACTACTTCTTCCTGCCCTGGACCCTGGACCCTGGGATCCTGACCAGAAGTAGTGAAGTCTGATATGGGTCTCTTTCCAGCTTCTTGGAACCTTCCTCGAGGTTCTGCTATCAGTGTCCAACACAGATACAGTTGACTGTAGCAGTCTCTCTCAAAGGTGTGGCTCACCAGAGGAAACCTAAGGGTTTTCACAGCAGTGACTTTTGGCCCTTTTCACTCTGTTCAGGACTCCAGTTTCTCACATCTATGGCACTCCTGAAAGTAGTTCCTAAGCCCACTTTGGTAAATTAAGCAAGATTAGGTTTTTCGAGACAGGGTTTCTCTGTATTGTCTTGGAAGCTGTCCTGGAACTCGCTTTGTAGACAGGCTGGCCTGGAACTCACAGAGATCCACCTGCCTCTGCCTCCCGAGTGTTGGGATTAAAAGCATGTGCCACCACCGGCTCAAATAGCAGTTGTTTTTTTTTTTTTTTTTTTTTTGGTTTTTTTGGTTTTTTTTTTTTTTTTTTTGGTTTTTCCGAGACAGGGTTTCTCTGTATTGTTTTGGAGGCTGTCGGTCCAGCCCGGCCTCGAACTCACAGAGATCCGCCTGCCTCTGCCTCCCGAGTGCTGGGATTAAAGGCGTGCGCCACCAACGCCCGGCTGGCCACAAGTCTTAATTTAGCTAAGAAACCAAGTGGTCCCTGGAGATCCTCAGTTTCTAGAGTTTATGTTTTTTTTTTTTTTTTTGAGGCAGGGTTTCTCTGCGTTGTTTTAGAACTCGATCTGTAAACCAGGCTGGCCTTGAACTCACAGAGATCTGCCTGCCTCTGCCTCCTGAGTGCTAGGATTAAAGGCGTGTGCCACCAACGCCCGGCAAGTTTCTGTTTTTAGGCAGTACTCTTGTGTACAGAGTCAGGGGTTGGCTATCATGACCAATAGAATATAGCTTAAGTGACACTGTGGTTTCAGACAATTAACACAACACTTTTGATTCTTCTTTAAGTTATTGGAATCTGGGAGGGGCTATCCACTCACTGTGAGGGCACTACAGTAATGCCACACAGAGACATACAGACAATGACTGACACCAACCAGAAGTCATGTGAGTGAACCACTTTGAAGGGGATCCTCCAGCCATAGGGGAGCCTTCTGATGATGCAGGCTCATCTCAGTCTCTGGCCTTGAACCAGAGCAATAATACAGCCTGAACTCACAACCTGCAAGAACTGTGGACTAATATGGTAGCAGATAGCTAATATAATAATATCCAATATGGGGACATTGTGAGCCCGTGGGGAGTCCAGGAAGCTTTGAGTGAGTGTATAGAGGATGAAGTCCTGTGTGGCTAAGCAAGGACCCAATGCCTCAGACACATGGAAATGGCAGAGCCTTCTTATGGTCTGAGTGGGAATGTTGGCAGTGTGTACAAACACAGCTTCTTCTTCCCAGATGACTGCATTCTGAGACTTCTCACATACAGAGACCTCCTACAGAGATAATCTAACCTGTGTCCCTGTGCTGTACATCATATAATTGCCAAAGGTTCCAGGTTGTTGTTGCATAACTGGTGCTGTCCCATCAGAGTGAGCGCAGGCCACCCAACCCCTGCTTTTCTGCATGTGTGTTTGCCCTTCCCTCTTTCCCTCGCCACCCTAGTCGGGGTTCTAGGACCAAGCCATACAGGATGCAGCAAAAGCCAGCTTGTGTTTGGCTGATGTCAATTCTGAGTGCCCATATCCAAAGATCAATTCATGTGGGAACACCAGACCTTGAGCAGAGACCCACTTCCCCTTCTGCCTGGGAGTAGGCAGCTGTAGACAATGTTTACTAAAAACAATACAATGCCTGGGGGCATTAAGTTCCTGGAAAAGGCCTGCCCGAAGAAACCACCCTGACCTCGACCTTGTCCAAAGACTAACCACCTCTTCTGCCACGCCCAGATCAGTTTCTGGGGTCAGAGCAGAACCAGCCAGGGTAGAGGAGAGAGCAGAAGCTTCTCTGGTGGGAGCCTTTCTTAGGAAGTTTTCTTGAACCTTTTTGGAGCCTGCTTAAAGTTTTCTTTACATCGTTGAAAGAGTCTCTGTGTTGTCAATCCCCGACACCCTCCGCACGTTCTCGGACACAGGCCGCGCAGCAGACGCGACAATTGGAGGTCCTACCGAGATCGTGAAAGCGAGGTAAGTGGACGGGGTTGTCCCTTTTGCCAGCTAGGGACAGATGGAGGAAAATAGGAAAAGAAACAATGGGAAATAGTCCCTGGAAGTTTAAATTACAGTATCACGTAAAAAAGTTGCTTGAAGAACAGGGGACTACAACCATGGCAGGCCTTTTAAAATGGATTGAACGAGGGAGCCCATGGTTCATTACTGGGGAAGGCTTAAATGTCCCAGATTGGGAGGATGTTTGCTATGATATTCAGAGAGCCGGATGTTGGTGGCATACGCCTTTAATCCCAACACTCGGGAGGCAGAGATAGGAAGGAATGAGGCCATCCTGGTCTATAGAGCGAGTTCCAGGACAGCCTCCAAAAGGATAGAGAGAAACCCAGTCTCAAAAAAAAAAAAAAAAAGAAATAAAAAAAGGGTAAAATAAGAAATAAAATAAAAAATCTCCAGTCTTTCGCCTGATCCACTGAGGTCAGGAAAGTAAAGGGGAACTGAGAGATCTAAAAGGCTAGCCAGTAAGGCTATGTGGATGTGTTAAAAAGGGGTACCAAGCTAGGGGTACCGGATTAAATCTCCAGGCCTTCGCCTGACAAAGGTCAGGAAAGGGGACCCTGAGAGATTGCCCTCAGTTGGAGGGGGGGATTGGATTAAATCTCTAGGCCTTAGCCTGACACTAAGGTCAGGGGAAAAAGGGGAACCCAGAGATTGCCCTCAATTGGAGGGTGGATTGTGTAAATCTTAAGGCTTTTTGCATGAGGGAACATCCTGGGTTGAAAGTTGGATTGAAAATGGGTGAATAGCCGGGCGTTGGCAGCACACGCCTTTAATCCCAGTACTCGGGAGACACAGGCAGGCAGATCTCTTGAGTTCAAGGCCAGCCTGGTTTACAGAGCAAGTTCCAAGACAGCCTCCAAATAATACAGAAAAAAAAAATTGGTAACAAGCTGGGCGGTGGTGGCACACGCCTTTAATCCCAGCACTTGGGGAGGCAGAGGCAGGCGGATCTCTGTGAGTTCGAGGCCAGGCTGGACTGACAGCCTCAAACAATACAGAGAAACCCTGACTTAAGAAAAAAAAATGGGTGAAAAAAAATTTGTAACAGTAAAGAGGTACTGGTATTAAGTAAAGAAAAAGAAAAAGACAAAGGTATATGGAATGAAAAATTTTGTTTACATTTAAGTTCTATTTTGTGAGTCATCTCTAAAAACTTTTGGCCAAAAGCTTGGCCTCTCTACCTTGCATCTACAGTTACAAGGAGTAGGTACAGCTGTACCCCATGACTGTAGCTCAAATGGAGGAATGATAAAGAACATACAGGACTTTTTAACCCTTTTAGTTCAAGGATTGGCTGGAGTTGTTCTTTTACATAGATTTCAATTAAGGAAGCTTCATTGCAACAGACTAATCATGACCTAGGGAAAAAGGATGACTGAAAGATGCATGTATGTTCTGAATGTATGGTGTGGCCACACCGGTATGTATGAAATGTGATTGTGAATGCGTGAGTGTGAACTGCTTATATGATTAAAAGGATACTTAAATCCCTTCAAAAATAGTTAAGAAGCTACCTAGATTGCTTTAAATATAGACAAAAGGAACATCCAGCCAGTCTGTTAATGTTTTAACAGAAAAATTTAAGATGCAAACGAGGCCTTGTCAGCTAGTGAGAGCTCTACAGGTTAGATTGGGAAAGACTGCTCACAGACTTCAAATAATTTTCAAAAGTTATTTGGACACAGTATAGTTTACAATCTTTGAGTGATTTTCAGAAGTTTTTGGGAAGTATTCAAAGGATATGTCCTTTTTAATGGACATCTACAAATAATCTAAGTAGTAATCCCAATTTACCTAGATAGTCAACCAAGGAGGGTAGACAAATCCTTCTACTATTATGGTCCAGCTTCAACAGTTCAAAAAAATTTTTTTAGAAAATAAAAAAGGGGGAATAATGTCCCCAGTCCCCATATGACTCATCAAATAATACACTCCTCATTTAAAAATTTTATAATGTGAATGCCAGTGAGCTTCAGACAGATTCTGGCATGATGGAACTTGAACAACCATTGCTCAGGTCAAATGGAGACATCCATGCACTAAACAGTGGAGAAGACCCTAATTTGGGGTCGAGGGCATGTTTGTGTTTTCTTGTAGGAAAAGAATAAAAGCTTCGGCATGGAGCAGAGAAAAACTGG